ATATGCCGCCCTTCTCCCGGCGGGACTCAGGGCGGCGCACAACATATTTAAAACCAAAGCATATATACAATCCCCCCCTTAAAACCGAATTAAACCAAATTTAAAGTTGTGTCTTCCAAATTCCTAAAAAACCCAGTATAAAATCCACCCTAGGTCAGGTCCGCTTGCTGAAAGAGCCATGTCTTGAGGGCGCGACGGATATCCTTTCCTCACACATGGACTGGTTCGAATACATGCCATAATTTGGAGGAAATAAGAAAAACAAGGTGTTACGGTTCCGGCTAATGAAACACTTCAAAGAACTTCCAGGCATTGATTTTTCTAAAAGTAATTTATTGTTACAAAATGTCGGCACAGGCATAACGAAGTTGATGCTAAGATCTGAAATTCTCTTCCCCTGAGCAATTAATTCACCAGCATGTTCCCTCCCTAAATTTGCTGTCATATATCACGGTTCTCCTATCAGGTGGAAGGGCAGAGGTTCTCTTCAGTTCTCTTCCCACCCACAGTCCTATCTTTCTCCTCCCCCCCCATCATCTGAATTAACTCTAAAAATACCAGACAGTTCTGCTTATTTTGTCAAAGCAAGGATATACAGTATTTGCAGCATTGACACAAGGACTTAACAAACTATGTACTTACTTCGTCATGTAATTTTACAATGTATTTCTCCCTTGCATTGATCTTGTCAGGATATTGAATTAAACCAAGGGCATTTGGGATCAGATCCCTAACAAATAACAAAGCTCATTAAGACAGATGAAGAGAAATTCGAACAAACCTAACTGCAATCCTAAAATACACTTTTTAGTGAGTACAGCCATATATATTTATTTTATTCATTTATTTATCAAATTTAGAAACTACCCCTTTCCCTCACAGAGAATCACTGGACAAATGGGTACAAATAAAATGCGTACAAGTAAAATATTAAAATGTAAAAACTATATATAAGAGACAAAGATATTTAAGTTTAATATTAGAAAATTAATTAAAAGGCGGCAGGAGGACCTTCAGGATGCTAACCAGCCCCAAGGCTGGGTGCTTCTTTGTAAGTTACGTTTTAAGCATTTTCCATTTTTGTTTTAGACTGACAGTTAAAAATAAACATGAAACTAATATTAATTCATGCACCAGCAGAGTGTCATAGATTTAATACGGAACACATCCTTTGTTCACCTTTTTTTTACACAAACAGAAGCATATATACACATGTGCATGCATGTACAATGCACATATACTGAAAATACATTATTGAAAAGAAAACGCATATGAGATTGTTCCACTTCAAGTAAAGTATTTCTGGAAATAATTGTGAATGGTATATACCTATAAATAAAGTTAAAGACTCTTATATGTATACGTGTTATAGGTTATCATTAAAGAACCATAATTTTTAGAACAATTCATCAGTAGAATGGTTTGCCTCCAAAAGTTGTGAGTGCTCCAATACTGGAAGTTTTTAAGAAGAGATTGGACAACCATATAATAATAATAATAATAATAATAATAATAATAATAATAATAATAATAGTAAAGTTGGAAGGGACCTTGGAGGTCATCTAGTCCAACCCCCTGCTCAGGCAGGAAACTCTATACCATTTCAGACAAATGGCTGTCCAGTCTCTTTTTAAAAACTTCCAGTGTTGGAGCATTCACCGCTTCTGGAGGCAGGTTGTTCCACTGGTTAATTGTTCTAACTGTCAGAAAATTTCTCCTTAGTTCTAGGTTGCTTCTCTCCTTGATTAGTTTCCATCCGTTGCTTCTTGTCCTGCCTCCAGGCGCTTTGGAAAATAGCTTGACTCCCTCTTCTTTGTGGCAGCCCCTGAGATATTGGAACACTGCTATCATGTTCCCCCTCGTCCTTCTCTTCATTAAACTAGACATACCCAATTCCAGCAACCGTTCCTTATATGCTTGGACTAGAAGACCTCTAAGATTCTTTCCAACCCTGTTATTCTTTATTGTATGTATAAAAAACCCTACCCCAAGAAAGTCATTTGTGTAATTACTTTTAACCAGAAGTGGTTACTGCAGCCAAGGCTCACAAATTGCAGGGACATTTACTTAACCTGATGGGAAAATAGTTCCCTACTTGAATATATATATATAAAAAAACAAAAACGTTTAAAACCCCCGAATTACTTGAAAACTCCCATTTTCAAGTACTTGGTGCTGAAAATACGTAAATGTATTAGTAATGTTTGTCTCTTTTTTTTTCTCTTCAGCGAGAGAAACATCACGAATTGTCTTTAAAGGAACTAGAACACAGTCTTCAAAGATCAGAAAACCAAAACCAAAGTATCCAAAACTATGTGAAGTTTTTGAAAGCCTCATATGTAACAATGTTTGGCTGAATTTCCTTGATCGTTTTTTTTTTCTTCACAGACTAAAGCATATTTTGGAACAGATCTGTGTCTGTGTTTATAGCATTGGAACTGATTTAGGATCTCTTCCCCTGTATTCCCCGAAATTCATACTTTTTGTCCATTTTTAGCAAAGTACCCAACATCTGTTGAGAAAATCTCTACCAAGCATGGTTGTTCCAGAAAATTCTTCCAGAAAATTATTGAGGGCAAAGAGGATCAGCTATTCCAACTCTGATATGGAAGTCTAAGTTGAAGAGATGGAAGTAGCAAGAATATTGGAAAAAAGTAATCTCATAATACTGGAGTTCTTGATTTTGAGGAAACTAAAGTTGAGTGTAACCTAACAAATATCCTCTTGTTGTTTTTTAAAAAGCTAACATTAATAAACTCAGAGTCATAATTGCTGAAAAATCCAATGAGGAAAAAAATGGAAGCACAGAAGCAGCATGTGGCTATAGTAGGAATTTGATTGACCTCTGAAAACCAAAGAGGATACATATAAAAGATGGGGAAAGGAATACTTCAGTGAACAAGAATATATACAGATAGCCTGGAACTAAACAGCTGGTGACAGGAAAGCCAAAACTTAGACAAATTTAGTTTTGGCAAGAGATTCTGTGAACAAAGATGGATCCTTTAGGTATATTCAGAATTAAAAGAATCAGTTTATCTGCTGCACATTGAAGATGTCAAAAGGGAACAAAGCAAAACCAGAATTATACAATTTATTTTGGCTCAACCTTTGAAAATATTATGTGTTTTTTCACACAGTTATGAAAGGTAGAATGAAGAGGCAGCATTGAAACTTGAGATTATTCAAAATTATCAGAAAATATCTATACATATTTCAAAAGAAAAGGAAAGGGGATTGTAAGAAACTAAATTCTTAGTACACCTTCAGTGTCTGAGAATATTCTAGAACAGTGGTGACGAACCTATGGCATGCATGCCAGAGGCGGCACTCAGAGCCCTCTCTGTGGGCACGTGCACCGTCACCCCAGCCCTGCCTCCCATGTGGCCCCCTCCTCACCAGCAGCCCCCTGGAGGAGAGTCGTCCCTGGGCATGGCCCAGGCAGAGCAGCACAGCCAAGGACATGGCAGCCGGGCAGCAGGGATAAGACTTCGCCCTTGCGCCCCATCGCACGCAGATGCTGCTGCGGAGGGCATGGCCTCCATGGCGCTGCAGGGCTGCCTGGGTGATCTGCAGCGGGCCGTGGAGGCAGTAGGTGGCCCTGTGGGAGAGCGGGAGCGGCGCGGTTTTTGGGCACTCGGTCTCTAAAAGGTTCGCCATCACTGTTCTAGAACATATTATGAAGAGATGATTTTGTAAGCATCTAAAACAATAGAATTATTAATAGGACTCTGCATTGATTTATTAATATTTAGTCTTGTTTTTTGATCAGGTAATTTCATAGCAGATTCTAAGAATGCTGTAGAGTAATACATTTTTACTTCAGCAAACTATTTCAGGAAGCAACTTTTGATATATTACTAAACTACTTGTTTACAGGCTGAAGGAATGACTACTGAATATCTAATATCTGGCTTGAAAATAATACTCAAATAGTGCTTATCAAGTTAGGGTGCAATTCACGTGGAATATCACAGGTTCAATCTTGGATACTATACTTATCAATATTTTTACTAATGACCAGGATGAAGAAGTGGCAGGAATGTTTATCAGATTATCAGATGACACAAAAATGGATGCAATAGTTATTAATATTTATTTTACATAGAGAGTACCCAATCCAAATGATTCTATGTGGCTTTAAAAACAAGAAGAATAAAAATAAGAAACACATCATTGCTGTCCAAAAGGGAAAGAAGCAAAACATTTAAAAAAAAAAAACAACCCAACCCTAGAAGACAGAGATAAACTTTAGAACAATTTTGGTAGATAAAACAAATGGGTGAAGGTAACAGTGAAATTTAAGGAAGACAAATGGATAGTTGTTCACTTAGAAACAGTAATCCAATGCAGAAATAAAAAAGTGGTATACCTAGCTTGCTAATAGTAAATGAAAAAAATCTTGTAATACAGTAGTTCTTGACTGCAGTCTGAGAAGGCTGCAAAGAAAGAAAATGCAATTTTAGGCTGCATCAAGAGAAGCATCATTTCTAAATCACAGGAAGTAATAAATTTTCTTTTGCATTGTTGAGACTCCCAAGGAATAAATCCAATTTTGGGCACCATACTTTAAAGAAGGATCACAATGGAATAGGTTCAAAGAAGGATGAAGAGAATCATGTTCGAGAAACCTAAAGACAGATTGAAAGATCTGGTATATTTAG